TAATGGGAAAAACAAAAACCAGTACAAAAGACATGACTCCTGCCCTCAAAATGCTCCCCAAATTACTAAACAAATGAAACAGGGAAAGTCAAATAAGTAAAAAGCAATGAAACATCAAATTGTATGAGTTCTCTCTCCTCAAGTATTAAGGTTTTGTCATAAATTTCTAGATAACTTACTTCTTAAATAGAAGTTACATCTTTTAAATTGAAAGGCACATGTAAAATATAAAGAAAGAGCTATAATATTGTAGACTAACTTGCAAATCATAACAGTATAGACCAAAATACATCCTAGATATGCTGACATACCCCATAAACGAGCTGTAAAACGGCAGCATGAGTAAGATGCTAGAACAGAGAGCACTGGAGCTCTCACTCTCACCTTTCCATTGAACTGCATGGAAATAAAAATGGGATCTCACCTGTAAACTACAGATGAAAAGCTAATATATGCCAAAATTTTTTTTATTCACGGGTAAATATGCAGGAAACAAAAGTAACAGGTATGAGCCCTATCAAAATTACATCAAGGATCAAAGCCACAATGAGATACCACTTCACACCCATTAGGGTGACTACTGTCAAAAATACCGGGAAATAATCTTTGTGTATAAAAGGTTAAAAATTAAATGTGTGGTGAAATATTAACAAACACAAACCTATGAAATATGAATGATAATTTAATAATTCAGGGCAAAAAATCAAATAAAGGGGATCATTTTCTATTTACGAAATACATAATTAAGAGTAAAGACCCACTATGAATGAGTCTTTCTATGCTGAATAACATACAATATCAAGTAAAACCTGGTATTGAAATGAAGATGGATTTTACAGGTTTGAACTCAGTCTTTCTGAACCTAATTAGTGAAATAAATAAATACAAACTTTGAACGTTTCAAAGAATACAACTCCTCAAGTTTCCAAAGACACTGACAAAAACTAACCATTTACCTAACCGCAAAGAAAACGTCAATATATATTTAAGGCTATACATTCTCTGATCCCAGGGAAATAAAAATAAAAATAAAAATGTAAACCAAAAGT